AATATATATATATATATATTTATATATACATACATATATATATATAAACAGCTTCAGCTGCTAGATGATATATAAATTCTGAATATTTTCAAAGGTAGGGTGTGCTCTGAGCTAGTTATAATGCCTCAAAAACTGTATTAATTTTTCCTTTGGTCCCAAGTGATGCTTCTCATTCCAGATTAGCTGAGTTAGAGTTTTACTAATTAACACTATGTTAAGACAAACTATTTAAATGCCTTGTTATTTATGGTATCTCTGCATATTTCTAGAATTGAGTAGGAATTGAAATTCTTAGGAAATCTGATTATTTGTAATTGAACGGGAAAAAGAGATTGAATTCTCCATTTGTTTTATGAGATGATGTGTGATATACATTGATGTGAATCTGTTTTAATTTTTTGAATTTATGGTTTAGAAGGTTTTCGGTCAATCAATTTAATGACCTGACCATGAGTAGCACAGCAGTTAAAATTACTCTAAATTATGTTTTGTGCTTTGTTTATTAGGTTTTTGTGTGATCATTTATTTGTTTAGCAGGTGTATAGCATCTATTCATTAATGCCATTACATGTTTCTTATTTATGTTGTGGTTGAAATAGTTACTTTATCTACATAATCAGGGATTAGAAAAGTTGGATCAAATTTTGAAATCAATGAAAGAAGAAGAATGAGCTATTTAATCAAGAATTGTATTCTCCCAACTGACCCATATGTAATGAACAACTAGAGATAAAGTACAAGCTTAGTGGAGTTAACTAGGGTTTTTTTCTTGCAGTGAGTGGTATCAGTATGTTCTGTTTGTTACTAGTATTCATAAAAGCGATCTAAAGGACATAAAAAGATTCCATGCCATTTTTGTGGATTTTTTTTTTATGTGTATTCATAACATTTTAATATGTGAATTCTCCATATACTTTCGTAAAATATATATATATATAATTTTTAAAGGAATTTTTCTTCATGGAGTACCATAGTGACAGGCAGCTCTACATAAAATTTTATAATCAGGTTTCCCTTTAAATGTGATTTTTAATTATTTTTTACACATTAAGTTTTAATGGTGTATGCAAATATATATAAACAAATCTTCTTATCTAATAAGCTCAATTCAGAGCTTAGTTTCTAAAAGTAGTTTAGCAGAATAATTTTGAAAGTTAGCTTGTTGTTCTGTATTTCAAAGTCAAGTTTTGAATTAAGTACAAGTAAAACTACAAATATTCAGTGTTGTTTACAACCCCCAACTTATTAATAATTACTGTTGTACTGTTTTTGTTAACATAAACATCTATTTTATAACAGACACCATAAATTGAGTCTGTGTTTATTGTTGATAAATGTATGTGTTATCAGCAGCCACATAGGCCAAAGCAACCACCATGCTTTATTATTAAAGTGGCTCAGTCTCAAAGGCCAAAACAACCACCATGCTTTATTATTAAAGTGGCTTAGTCTCAAAGGCCAAAACAATCACCGTGCTTTATTATTAAAGTGGCTCAGTCTCAAAGGCCAAAACAATCACCGTGCTTTATTATTAAAGTGGCTCGGTCTCAAAGGCCAAAACAATCACCATGCTTTATTATTAAAGTGGCTCAGTCTCAAAGGCCAAAACAATCACCATGCTTTATTATTAAAGTGGCTCAGTCTAATAGGTTCAAAACAACACCATGCTTTATTATTAAAGTGGCTTAGTTTCAAAGGCCAAAACAATCACCATGCTTTATTATTAACATAGCTCAGTCTAATAGTTCAAAACAACCACCATGCTTTATTATTAACGTGGCTCAGTCTAATAGGTCAAAACAACCACCATGCTTTATTATTAACGTGGCTTAGTCTCGTAGGCCAAAACAACCACCATGCTTTATTATTAACATGGCTCAGTCTAATAGGTCAAAACAATCACCATGTTTTATTATTAACGTGGCTCAGTCTCAAAGGCCAAAACAATCACTGTGCTTTATTATTAAAGTAGTTTATTTTAATATACTTTCCGTAGATTTATGAATAACCTAGATTTCTTTTTGTGTTGTTGGTATACTAGCAGCGTTTATAGATTAAAATATTTACAACATTCACGAACACAGCATAGATTTTGTATGTTTCTTTCGCTTTTTGTGCTTTCTCTAAATGTAAAGAAAACACGTTTTTAATTACAAAATACGAATGTGATTAGATACAGTGCTTGAAGTGGAAGAAAAGAGGTAGCGGGATTGTTTGGGAAATTTTTGAAACTCATTATAATATAAAAGCAACTAAAATGGAAAATTGAGAAACTTATTAGGTAAGATAATGAAAATAATAATAATAAAAATTCTTTACGAGGTATATTCGCGAACAGCTGTGTGTTACGTAATTCGATATGGTAATGTAAGCTGTATGTTCGTCAAGTGATTTACAACTCGTGTGGTGGGATTAATAATTAGACACTGTTTAGAGGGCAATAAAACAAAATTAAGTATAAACAGACGTATTTTTTTACGAATTATAGTATAGAAACTGATGGTTACTTTGTGGTTACAAACTCGGTCACACCTACTCAGCCCATAACGAGAGGGTTCATTCACTTTGTACTACTCTTGTTTCATTGGCCCTTTTCGCCATAAATATTTATTGCATCGTATGTTGAGCTTCTGAAACTCTTAAAGTAATGTTTATTTTTTATTTTCAGTCTTAAACATATTTCAAAATTTTCCTAGTTGAATATGCCAAAGAGTGTGCGTGTTGTTTTAAGATTTAATTATAAGTATATAGATGTGGTTTTATGGTCATTCTTATACACAAGATTACATATTGAACTTAGTAAAACATGGCAAGTTTTATGACTGATAGGTATGGTAGCCACAGACAATTTAAAGTTTGTTTAAATACAAAACTGAAAAAGAAATATTTGTTTGTTACGAGCATGAATGTTGCTTCAGCTTGAACCATGTGTTTCTATAAACAATTATAAACACACACACATATATATATATCAAAATAAAGTTATTTAGGGTTAAGTATTGAAAATGTTTTGTTCATTTCTTAAATTGATTAAGTAAATAGCAATAATTATTTTCTACGTTTTGAAAATAACTACATAGACTGATTTAATCGTTTTATGCGATGGCAGATAACAGACTTGTTGGTGTTATTTACAAATTATATACTAACACTCCACTTTGTGTTCTTTTAACATAGAGAAAGTATTTGCTGAAACCAAAAACGTGTAGTTTTTTTTTTCGTACATGTATCGTATAGCAACTTCCAGATGCTTTGCTGACCAATAACATCATTAAATCACATAAATACGTCTTCATTACTCAGTTCCACAATTCGTTGGTAAAGAGTGGGTAGTGGGTACCGCTAGCCAGTTGCCTTCTTTGTGACTGGCAATTCAATATCATGGACAGCGGCAGATAGCCTTCATAGCTTTGCTTAAAAAACAAATAAATGCATCAGTGTTAGATATGATTATAAGTAAACAAAAATCAGCAAGGTTTGTTTTGAAATTTGAATGCCATTTATCAATATTTAGTTTTACAAAATGTATGACCAGTATCCAACTAGAGTTTCAACTTAATTTAGCGTTCAAACTCGAGTTGCTGCATACAAGTGTTTTTTTTTTCTCAGCAAATATTCCCATATAAAATGAATGCTTAAAAAGGCTGAAAATGGATATATTTGATCTATTAATTGATTATATTAGGTAGTCAAGAAATTAATGTCGTTTTTTTTTAGATGAAAAAACCCAAACAACTTGTATATCAAACAAAACATTTATTAAATGAAATAGTCTCTGTAACGGACAGTGCCCTCATAGGCTTAATTGTTGGAGTTTCAATTATTACTGCCAGTTACACCAAATTTATTTATTGGAGGATTTGTAGTGGCGAGTGGAGCTTGCAAGTCGCTAACTCGAAATAATTTACAGTTAGAATAAGGAATCAGAGTCCCAGACCAACA